GTTTTACTTAAAAAGAACAAAACATCAAAGTTTTGCTAAAATATGTAATTTATACCAAGAACTTACTACTTATAAATCACATATTTTATCCGTATTAAGGTACTGATATAATAGTACAGGATCCCAAGACTGCCAGACCTCACTTATTTTCTCATGTACGAAATATGGATTATCGAGTAATATTAGTGTGTACAACGAACGTATACATACTCGCTTACTTGTGCTGTGGGCCAATTTTCACGAATCAGGTGGCACAGGCACGTAAAAATTTTACTCACTTTTCTTACAGTCTGGGGACTGATTATTACGTATGTTGTAGAGAATATTGTAAACAATTTGAAATTAATACTGCCTGACACATTCCGTTCGCAGTATTTATTGCCAGACACTTTTAATGTCACTTTTGTTTGTGATTTTTGCTTTCGACATTAAAAGTGCCACCTGATTCGTGATAATTGGTCCACAACACAAGTTAGCGAGTATTTATACGTTCATTGTTCACACCTATACTACTTGATAATCCATATTTCGTCCAAGAGAAAATAAGTGAGGTCTGGCGTGTCCGTGATGCTAGCGTACCCACGATCAATATACGGTTTTTCGTTATGCCATTAAATACTGCGTAAATAGTGCCAAATTAGTGTAAAAATCAAAAAAATAGTGCCTCTTTAATTTAACCGTAAAGCCAGGGCACTATTTGAGCACTATTTTTGTGTACCAATTTCGTTGCTTAAATATATGCCGTTCTTGGGGTCGGCCATGGGTACGCTAGCTTGACGTCATGGTAGCGTACACAGTAAAAATTGGTCTTTATTTCTTAATTGAAAGAGGCACTATTTTTTTTATTTTTACACTAATTTGGCACTATTTATGCAGTATTTAATGGCATAACGAAAAACCGTATATTGATCGTGGTTACGATAGCATCACGGACACAGGTCTGGCAGTCTTGGGACCTTATTCTATAATATTTCTCAAACTGTTATGTACATTGACAGTACTTTTCAATAACGATGGATATAATTATTGACAGTGTCAGTCAACGATATTAAATACCTTATACTCTATTCCCACTACGAAGTCCCATTTGACAGATGTCAATAATAAAGCACTAGTGAAATACCGCTATAGTCGATACTCGACGATATTGATCTTCGATTACTATTACGAACAAAGTAAAATCGTATTGACAGAAAAAGGATAAAATAAAACGCAAACTTTGCTTTTTAAATTTAATTAGATAATATTACATGATATTTTTATTAAGATGGAACTTATTCATCATCACTAGCTGAAATCGATATTTCATGGTCGGCATCGTCGTCATCACCCTCATCATCGTCTGTAGAATCCCCTGTATTTATTAAAATTGGTTATCTATGACGGCATCGATATGTATGTCTCTGTCCCAATCTATAAAAACTATTGATGATTGTATATTGCTGCAAGAGGATCTTAATAGGCTATACGATTTTTACGTTGTAAATAAGATATCAATCAACATTAATAAAAGTAAGTGCATAACATTCACTCGGAAAAAAAACTCTTCTCTCACATTAAGCTATAATTTCAACGGATCCTCCAAAGGTAGGGTGGAAGTAATAAGGGACCTGGGCATTCTCTTTGATGGCAAATGCAGCTAGTAAATCACATAGATGCCATCGTTGCTAAATCTTACCGTAATTAAGGATTTCTTATACTTGTGCACCTTTTAAGTATGTGATTATTGTAAATGTGGCCTATGTAAGAAGTGAGCTAGAATATTGTAGTAATATGGTCTCCTTTCTACAAATCGCACGTAAATAGAACCGAGGAAATACAACGCCATTTTATGAGATACCTTAATTGCGTGGGTATTTGTCGCTTATCCGATTATATCGATGATAGCCATAAAATGGGCTATTAACTCTTGAAGAGCGTAGAATACAGCGGAAATGATCTTTCTGTTTGATATCGTAAGAAGCAATATTGGTACCCTTTTTGTGACGCAGGCAAAACCTGTGTTTACAGACGACGGCGTCTTTAAGAGGCACACCGCCGAACAGACCTCACACCTGGCTCCCGCAAGTCTTACGAGCCCCCGCAGTGGCTGCCCACTGAGGACGCCGTAACTTTTACGGGCGCTTTACGGTATAATATCCGCTAAAAAACCCTGCGAATACCCTCTAAGCTGCTTAGTGCGAAACCGCGGAATTCCCGTCTAGGGATTCTTCCGCGTCTCCGCACCTAGCAGCCTCCCGGCCTAGCCGGGGCTCCACGGCAGGGGTCTCCCGAGGTATTGCGGGGACCCCGCAAACGTTCGCAGGATGGCCCGCGCGTAGGGGCTGAGTACGTGGGCCTAGGCCTAGTGCCCACCGTACCGCCCCCGTCCGCTGCGGAGGACTATTTGGGCGTGCCCGCGTAGCTCCCTCCGCCGCCCCCCTCTTTGCAGGACAGAACTACAAGAGGGGGGCTGCCATCACGGGTCCTCATTGGCCGGCACGACACAATGCGCCGCACCAGCCAACTAGGGATCCCCGCGGGCAGGGTCATGGGACGGGCGCAGCCAGGGCACGCACTCGTCCTCTCCTGTCCGCTCTTAATATATATTGATACCCCTGAAGTTTTAACGAACATTACATTTTGTTCCCCAAAGCGTCGTACTAGAATCACCCGTTATTCGCTACTCTACCACATATTACTTTGTATGGAGCAAATGCAATTCTGACTCGGTTACCTGTCTTATATAACAAACTTTTTAGTGGTATAGACATTTTCTCAAGTACTAAACTAAAAGCCTTGTCAAAACACGAAAAAATCCAAATTGAAATATCAACACTAATCGCCGCTTTGCAACGGTCTCACGCAACCTGGCAATTAAATATGCAAACATACATGTTACCAACTTACTTTAGCCTGCACAACGACAGTTTTAGTATCTCATCTATGTAATTCGTAGAAACCTGTTATTGGCCATTATTATAACTAAGTTCAAGTATTGCTGTTGGTTTCTCAAAAATAAATATATAAGACTGCCAATCATTGATATCATGTGTGTGCAATTTTTTACATATAATCCTTGTACAAAATTGTGTACCAAATTCGAGTGCCAAAATATTCATTACCAACTGGTACTGAAAAATATTTATAAAATTTTCATAATGGCTATTGTAAATTGTTGTTAATTTTTTAAGCTTTAAATTACGTATTGTTGGAGTAAAACGTATATTATGTTCTATACAAAAAATAACAAGATACATTTAACATTTATTTTGGATTGATTAATAAATAAATAAATATTTCCAACACTCACACCAATTAGACTAGCCCCAAAGTAAGCACTGTAAAGGCTTGTGTTATGGGATACTAGGGTAACGAATAGAATACATATATTATACATATATAAGTATATTTATATGAAATACATATTAAACATCCATGACTGGAGTACAAATGCTCGTATTCATCACACAAACATCTGCCCCCCACCGGGATTCGAACCCGGGACCTCTCGAGTCGGCGACGCCATGAAACCCGGCGTATAAACCACTCGGCCACGGAGGTCGTCGAATTCGGAGAATTCGTCGATTATGGAGTATTTTATTAATAACGTACTATCTCTCTTTATAATTTTGAACTAATATTATTAGTTCTGATTATTTAAAAATTGGTAAATATGCGATAGCATTTACATATTTAGAATCCATAAATTTCATTTGAGGATATCAATATGGTTTCTTGAATCTACAAAAAGCGTTCGACACGGTCTCAATTCCTATCTTACTATGTCGATTCGAAAAATTTGGTAGAGGTGTTGGTTCAAAGACTACCTCCAAAATCAAAAGCAGATTGTTCGATTGGCTGGATGTTATAGTAATTCAGCTTTTTGTAATTATGGTGTACCACAGGGAAGTACTCTTAGTCCAACGCTATTTTTAGCTTATTATATTAAAGAACTTTGTGGAATCTATCTGAACAATGCTGAGTTATTTTTGTTGGCTGATAAAAGTGCCCTAGTATTTTATGGATCCTCTTGGGAAGATATCAATATTACTACAGAAAAGGATTTATCAAAAGTTACTGTCTGGCTTGAAATAGTTTTTGTCCCTTATTGTAAGAAAAATTAAATACATTTGCTTTACAATAAATAAGCGACTACTAGTCCTAAGAAGACCTTCTCTTTGGCTATTCATACATATCCTTGTAATCTTTAATCTGACCTGACATAACTGCTACTGCGCAAAATTTGACCGCGTTTAAACGGTTAATCTTGGAGTCAATGTTAATGATAGACGAGCACTTAAAATGGGATGCGCATATTTCGCTTACCACTGGTCATATCAGAAAGTTGATGTTTGTATTAAAAAACCTTCGAAATATAACTAACATTCCTTTATTAATTAGATTATATAAATCTTTGATTATAGAATCTTTGATTTGCTACTTTCATTGTGCTTGGGGAGGTGCTAGTTAAAATAAATAAATAGTACAAAATTAACTTGCTATGTTCAGTAGTTTTAAAAGCGGCGACCTTTTGTCTTATAGAACAGGGTATCCTATTGCAAACACCGCCACTCTTCACATTGTAGTATTTTTTTCTTAAGATTTAAACATATATCAGTTAAACGCTTAAAAATATAATAAGTAAACTATTTTATAAGTAAAAGTTACGTTTTAAATTTACACTTATGCGCAGAGAGACTCCTCGTATTATTTTTAACGACTTCGTCAAACTTCATGAAAGTTAAGGTACCAGTTATGACAAAGTAATTCTAATTCCATGTTGTAGCCGACTGGCTAAGCAGTCAAAAGAATAATCATTTCTAATTTGTTAGAAGTTTTCGCGATATCGGCTGATAACGTGCCATCTGTTAGCTAACAATAGATGGCGACCTTGAAGACTTTTACGGAGGAGTTTTCGCTCGAAAGGGTAGGAAATAATTACGTTCGAGTCAGTAACCCGGGTGTGCGTTATTGATGGGCTCGCGCGGGCGGCGGGCGGCGGCGAGGCGGCGAGGCGCGCGGTAAGTGGGTCAGGGTAGGAGATGGGAGCGCGCAGCCGCCGACTCACTGCGCCCTCAGCCTTCAGCCATGGCGGACGCGCCGCCTGAGGTCCTCGAGTTGAACGTGGGCGGCGTGCATTACGCCACCACTCGCGACACCCTCCTGCGCGAACCCGACTCCCTTCCCGCCGCCGCGCTCCGCGACGCCGAGCATCCACGTGACGCCCGCGGCCGCATCTTCTTCGACCGCGATGGAGTTCTCTTCCGCTATGTGCTGGACTACCTCCGAGACGGCGGTCTCGTCCTCCCCGAGTGCTTCAGGGAACACAAGCGGCTAGCTCGAGAAGCGAAACATTACCGGCTAGTCGGGTTGGAGAATGCAGTACGGGAAGCGGACCCCCGGCCGCCTAACCGTGAGCGCGGTTGCATCACTGTCGGCTACCGGGGCAGCTTCGCGTTCGGCCGCGACGGCCTCGCCGACGTGAAATTCCGTAAACTATCGCGCATTTTAGTTTGCGGAAAAGTGACACTTTGCCGGGACGTATTCGGCGAGACCTTGAATGAATCCCGAGATCCAGATCACGGGCTGGCAGATAGATATACTTCGCGGTTTTTCTTGAAGCATTCGTTTATAGAACAGGCTTTTGATATGTTGCAAGAGAACGGCTTCAAACTTACAGCTAGTTGTGGCAGTGGTACGGCCGGCGGAGCTGCGGAACTGAAGCCTGGCGTCGACTCGGAGGAGAATCGCTGGAATCACTACAACGAGTTTGTGTTCGTGCGTGAATAAAATCATTCTATAGTATGCATGTGATAACGTCAGCTGAGTCTGTAGGTGCCGCGTGGACTGTTCTCATCGGACGGCAATGACACGAGAAATGTATTTCAGGTAATGAGATTAACGAAATTTTCTAAAGCGAAATAGTTATCTGAATAATTATTGGTAAAGTCTGTATACCTTTTAAATCTTCCACTTGGACAGACGTTGCGATTTATATTTTAGTAAAATGAGTTTTAAATCGAATGACCTCTGAACTACTTTGTATGATGATAATATTTATTGTAGTTACGAGAAATAATTTATTTTAAACCTTTGACCGTTTCGACTTATAGCGTTTTAGCTACAGGCATGTTTTTTGCATTTGTTTGGAGTTTAAAGATTTCCTGTATTGTGTAGATATTGAGAATTAACTGTAATCATGTATCAAATAGATAGTATGAAATGTAAAAATATATATATAACTTAAATTAGCGGTAGTGAAATTTCTCTACTCCCCCTCATAGGTTTAATTTCTTTATTAACTGTTACAAAAACTATTTCTAATCTAAATTATTTTGTATTGACTTTATATACTAATGAATATGTACCTAAATAAAGTATTTTGAATATTATGAGAACGTGGGCCATGGTTTTTTGATATAAAATATGCCAAATTATTAATTAAATCAAGTCTTACAGGTACATACGTTTGTTCTGTTCGACTATTATATTTATAGGTATTCCTGTATTCGTATTCTGTATTTGTATAGTATAATAAATATATTATGTAAAATAATCTGGGTATAATGGATGCCGAGTGATGTGTTGTGATCAAACTCATTTTTATTCTATTAAATTGTAACCACCAAGTCATTTGTACAAAAGTTTTATTGAGTGCGGCATTCGTTACTCATTACTGGCAATTTTAATAAACAACAATAAAATAAAAAACAATACATTGCGTTAAGAGAAAGTTTGTAACATAATTATATTTCAAATGATGTTAACTCTGATGAGGTTCTTTTCTGTTATCGATATTTTTAAGTACAAATACAGTCGAAAAAATTTGCAGTCCCCACTCTAAAGCGATGATATTACTTTAGCAATAACTTTGGTGGCCTCAGCAGCAAAGAATCTCTTCAAAAATATTTTGTCATAAATCGCAATGCGATTATTTACAAAACTGAGAGGCTACGTTAGTTATTATTCGACTGTATAAAGCATGATTAAATTCTGTTATAAACATTCGATATTATAATAGGTTTAGATTTCAGATTTCATCCACATTAAGATTGGCGAAACTTTATTTACAATAGTTTTAGATTATATAAAATAATATGGTAGGAAACTCCACAATGTGAATATTGTTCTGTCAGCAAAATGATTACCTATCTCTTTAGAACTAAACCAAAAAGTCCTTAAAATTTCTCGCTCGCTTGTTCTACCATACAAAATCCATGTTGCAACTTCGAATTTAAATAATCGCAACCATATCATTAGTATTTATGTATATACCTAGATAATTTAAGCCCACCTTCCATAGTCATCTTCCATACCGTAGTTGTTTTGATCAGTCTAAATATTCACTTCTCGCCGGTGTGATAGATAGGGGAGAGCAGGGATGGGCAATGACTACCCTTGAAACCTCTCACCCTACACTGAAATTCGGAAAATTACTATACAGTTTAAAATTTTATAGTGAATGTAACTGGAATAGCATTTAATAGTTTGTCCATCAAAATACTCAAGCTAAAATCATCTTGATATTGAATATTAATCAACCCGTCCGTTACAGCCAGACGGATTGTACTAATTGCAAAACTGTGCCAGGCGCAGAACTGAAAAGCCAGACCTTTAGGACTATTCGATACGATACGCTTACAGTTTTTAACAGGTACAAGTGATGTTCACCGAGCTATTTACTATCTACTACTACTTTATGATAACACTACTAAGATACTTGACTCGAAAAGCATCGATGTATATGCATTTTCACTCCAGTTGCACATTGTAAATGTCAATAAAGTTAGCGAATAAGGCCTGCTGGGCCTCTAGAGCGCGAAGTGCCACGAATTTTCGTAGTATTAACCAATTTTCCATAAACTCAATAAATATGTATGTGCTGTTGTTTCGGTTCATTCTCAGTAGATACATTGGCTAGATCCATGATGGATCTAGTAAGAACGTATTTTCTTTTTATATCCATTTGCTTAAAAAAATAATTATAATAAATCTAAAGAGAACTTTGTTTTTTAGTATATTTCATTTACTATGTATAAATCAAACTAGACTACTGAGGATCCCTTTGCAAATTCGAAACTAAGATTTCATTTATAAATCAGAAAAAATACCATGAGATCAACATAACTAAATGGATCTGATTATGAAATAGTGACAAAGATCTCATTCATAACCATTTTTTTCATAAACAACCTCTTAGACAGTACTGGTACTTTTTTCTGAATAATGTTTTTTTTTATCTGGAAATCTAAAATGAGAATATTAAGTTAACCATAAGCGTACTCTAGTATAATAAAACGTATAACTTAAAATACCTATTTAGAAAAATGGTGATACCACATTTTATACTATTTAATATAAAACATTAAATTTTATGACAAGCAAGAACAAAGTTGGAAATATTTCGGGTATCCAGCGTGGATCTGTTGAGAGAGAGAAATCTTCATTGATCCATAGCTTAAAATCAGGATCTATAGAGAAAATAAGTTCTCACTAGATCCATGATGGATCTAGACAATGTATTTACTGAGAATGAACAGCTGTTTCGCATAAAAATATTACAATATTTTAATAAATATTTGTTTGTAAAAAAATTACCTAGATATAAATTATAAATCTACATACCTAAAGGATCTTTGTAAATTATGTTGTTAGAACCTGAAATGTTTATTGGGTTTAGTTAGTGAGATAATATTAGTTGAATGTTAGTTATATTTGTCGTGGTAAGTTTAATTTAATTTTGTTGAAGACGTTTTACGTAAACCAAAATGTGTTTTTGGGAACGTTTAAATTCTATTTAGTGACCTTCCAATTGTGTGGAAAACAGTGATGGACCTGGACTTATTAGTAGGGTTTCTAAGAAAATAGATTTTTGTGAATAAATTTAGTTAAAAAACATCTATTTTGGTTTTTTTTTTCACTACCTAGCTAGGTATTCTTTGCGTTTTATATCTCTAAAATATTTCCAAAGGTTTTCAGCATCCCTATTTCCTGGACAAGCTAACTTCGCTCCTTTCAATAATAAAAAAAAAATGTAATTGTAAAAGATGCAATCCAAGACTCAGATCTAATTCTGAAGTCCAAGCATGATTTTAAGTTTATTAAAAAACATATTTAACAAAATACCTTTTTGAGTTAATGTACCTATTATTAAACCGTCCACTCCTCTCCCTGTCTTTCCCACCCATTCGACCTCCCTGGCTGCATCTCGACGCGGCCTCGGATCCTGATGGGGCTACTCTACTAAATATCGAATCCTCTACATCACAATTATGTTATATTATGCACCTTAAAATGTAATAAATAAATGAGTTTAAAAAAATAGTGAGTAATTAATTATAGTAGTTATGTTATTTGGATGAAATGAGTTTTTAAAACCACTAGAATGTAAGTAGAGTATTAAAACCGGCCAAGTGCGATTTGGAGTTATCTACATGCGTTTATAAGGATCACTCAGTTCAGCAAATTAAAAAAGGTTTGATTGGTCATAACTTTTTAACTATAAGCATTTGTGGTGTGCTATTAATTTGTACAGATATTTCGAAAGTTACCTTCAAGGTGACAAAAAAATATTAATGCACTTCGTAAACATAACGCTGTATTTCTCAATCTAAATGCGTCAGGATTAAGTGATCCAATGAAACTATCATAGATTCCTGGATTTACGTTGAAGGAACTTGATTTTTTGTAAAATAATGTGACAAATTCTGTACAATTTTTTAATATCGAAATTTCGTTCACAGCGTTAAAGTTTTCTATGATTCAGCGTATACTACTTTGCCTAATATCTGAATTGAGTGATCCACATTTTGGGCAATATCTTCGATCGCCTGTGAGTGACAATTTTTTTGATTTCGGTTATGAGTTTTGTCAATTTTACACTAAATGTACGTTTTGGTTTTATTGAAAACTAAACAAGGATCACTCAATTCAGATGCACATTCCCGCTTTTGCCTTTTGGGTATGAAATTCTAAAAAGCACCTATGCTGTCTTTACTCTCAAGGTCTTCACCATATCACTCTACTATATGCATAGTTGCACCCCCATTACTAGTGGATGTATGTGTGTGTCTAGCATTACGTTACGTAACGTTTTGTAATCCGCTGAAAGTAAGAAATAGGTAAGTAATATTGACACCCTCCGAGGCTAAGTGGTTTGTACGCCGGGTTCGAATCCCGGTGGGGGCAGATGTTTGTGTGATGAATACTAGCATTTGTACTCCACTAATGGATTTTTTAATATATTTCTATATAAATATACTTAGGTATATTATGTATCAGTATATTGTATTCTATCCGTTACCCTAGTATCCCATATTACAAGCCTACAGTACTTATTTTGGGGCTAGGCTAATTGGTGTGAGTGTTGGAAATATTTATTTATTTACTGTCTGATATTTTTATAGTACCTTTATTAGTACATTTTTCACTGAGAGTAGAAAGTGACCGATTACCAACAAGGGTGTAGACCGAGGCCTTAATACAACCAAATTGGGAATAACACTTTCTTTCGAGGAATACATAATGCTTTATCCTACACCTGCGAGGAAATGAAATAACAAATTCTTGAATTAAAATTTATATTAACTTAGTTAAAAAAGTTATGCCTGGGAGCTTATTGGTTTCTTGATTTCACGGGTACAGGTTCTCAATGACTGCTTAGGTAGTTTCTTTTAATTCTGGCGGTGTCAATGAAGCTTCATTATCAGAAATATACGCGCCGTCTCGAGTAGATAGATAAACAAATTAAAATCACAGCGATTTCTACCCTTTTTTCAAAATAGTCTTATTTAAAAAATAGATTGTAACCCACTTTTCGGAACATTTTGTTTTCGTTAAAAATAAATTTCCATACACTTTTCCAGCCCGCATAGTAGTACAAGAGTAATGAGGTCCTTTCTGCTGCATTTTAAAAACAAGAATTGAGCACTTTCCGTGCAGATGTAGCATAAAATATGACTGACATGTTTGTTCAAAAGTCAAAATATCTTTTTTCAAATTGGATGCACAATACAACTCTTGAATCGATACAACTCTTTTTACATTTCAGCACACAAAGTATGCCCCGCTAGATCTTTCTCACTTTCATGGCAGGTATCAATAGTAGAATCACAAAAGACGCTTATGTTGAATTCAAGAGGGAAACTTAATTTGCATTATATTATGTATTTTGACCAACTCTGTGTCGTCTTGGCTTCGAATCCCGGTGGGTAAATGTTTGTAAGATGAATAAGAGCCCCCATACCTATGCCCATACTGATGTAAATTATAAAATTATTATAATGCATTTCTTTCCTTTACTCTAGCATCTATTGCATAACACAAGCCTTACATTGCTAAGCTAATTAAATTGGCGGTAAAGCTGCAAGGCGTCTACGTAGAGATGGAAGTTGGAGAAGACAACTCTAGTGACCGCGTCGATGAGAATAGAAAAAAACAGTGGCGAGAGAACACCGCCTTGGGGTACGCCCACAAAAAAATAACACCAATCTGAGAATAACATATTAAACTTTTCACTGGTTTTAATGCAGAAACCTAGCCGGAACTAACGGCTTAATGTGCCTATTAAAGCACGAAGGAGCTCGAAATATCAAGTTTTTGATCAACCATCCAATGACCAGCTTCTGCAAAAGTACTTAACTTTTACGATCGTAGACCAAACGCGTTCACTACCTCATCCAACCGCCATCGAACTCGCTCTTGATACTTTATGTGATGTAAAATTTATTTATTTATTAAAATAATTATAAAAAATAATAATAATTTCTTAAGAAAAGTTTACTAGAAAAAAATCCACGCGGACCAGGCATCAGACGTTAAATGCTTGAAAAATAAATAAAATCATAACAATAATTTCTTAATTTAATAAAGTGTAATTCGAACTTGCAACGGGTAAGTTACCTACCTACTTATCTTATCTCAGATACAATACAGAAATCTATATTGTTTTTCAGGGACGTATTTACCCTAAGGCCAAGAGCCTTACACGGCCCGGGGCTGCATGCTGCGGAGGGCGGCTGCAAGAGTTTCGAAGGGCAGCAAAAACCATATAAAAGCATTGACTGATACATATTTTGATGAGATTTACTAATTCTAGAGGGCGGGTAGTAAATCGTAAATGCCCGGGGCGCTAGATTTCAAAATACGCCTCTCGTCTTTGTGGCTGTATCACACAAACGAAACGTAATAAATACCTCAATGCACTCATTACGCACGAGATGCTGCACCTTTCGTATAATCATTTGCGTAAAGTTCATCTATAGGTACCTATAGAATATCATCTACTAAGTATTGTACAGGAGCGGTATTCATTAGCAGCGAGTGCCCATACAAAATTCAGTGATTAGGGAGCGGTTCATTGGGCAATTATAATATAATTTTCCTTTGATGGTTTAGCGGATGCGGAGTACCTACTTATCCGCAGCGCTGAATATCTAAAGCACAGATTTCAGGCATGTTGCATAAAGCGACGACATTCAATAATCATTGGCCACGCATTGGAATAATAACTATCCCGACTACATTCTTGAAGAAACTTCGTCGTTCGTCCTTCAAAGCGACAGCCGGCGTATGCCTGTATGTTCGGGCGATGTTTGTGGTCGCCGTTTGAGCTGCCTGGAAGACCCCTCCTTCTCCATGTTAGCGGTACATGTAGATTCATAGTTCTTTGACCAGAGTCTACGCGTGCCTCTACAGATCCCACAGCGGTGACGCTGAGACAACTCGACTCTTTGACCATGTTAGTCGGATAGTAGATGATGCCCAGGCGCAATTTCCCGAAGCAGAACTGGTGTTTTGGGGGACTCTAACGCCCACTACGGTTTGTGGTTTGGCTCCCCAAAAACTGACCGTGCAGGGATCTCTGCCCATGCATTCGCTCTCACGCATGACTTGACACATCTGGTCGATTAGCCCACCAGGATCCAGATATAGCAAGTCAAGCGCCTTCTTTACTAGACCTTCAGCTAACGACTCATCTGCAGGATTATCGGGTTATGGTTCGAACTCCACTGGGTTGATCAGAACATTGCTTGATATCTGCCAAGATGCCACATCCCATTGGTGGTCAAACGCAGGGTCTGGCACTATGGGTCGGCAGATTGGAATGGTATGAGCGACTACATTGCGTCTATCTATTGGAAGCAGTGCTGCTTTAGTGAAAAGGACCTATTGGCCAGCGCCGTTGCTAATACTGAGGAGATCGTAATGGGAATGGAGTATTATATTCCACATTCTGATCATATCAGTAAGGGCACACGTAACCAATGGTTCAGTCGCGACTGTGCTGATGCTGTTTCTGGCTATCAGCCTTGACAACGCCAAGGTTATTGACAGGGTCTGGCATAAAAGCGTTCTCTCCAAGCTTCCTTCATACGGTCTGCCTGCTCAGTTCTGCGCCTGGATGTGGGCGCATCTTTACGGACGAATGTACTTTGCAGTTCATGTCAGTGAATGCCTGTGTTCCTCAGGGCTCCGTTCTCTCCCCCACACTCTTTCTGCTGCATATCAATGATTTGATTCCTCTTGGGAATATTAATTGCTATGCAGACGATAGTACAGTGCATGCAAGATATTTTGGATACGACGCGGGTGGACAGGTAGAAACCAAGGTGAAACGGGTTAATCTTGCTGAACTCAATAACGCTTTGGACCACGTTTCCGAATGGCGTACCAGGAACTTGGTTGAGTTCAATATCAAGAAACCCAGGTTTGCGCTTTCAGGGCAAAAACATCGCCATTCCTTCCCCATCCCTCTCTTCAGGGCACTGGAGCTACATCACCAGCTCGGTATGGCAATTTGCTCAGTGCTGAATACAAAGAATTACATCGAAACCGCGATCAACACAGCTTCACGCAAACTCGAGTCCTGAACAAGGTGCAGCGTTTATTCACGCCTGATTAAATGTGCTTGTTGTACAAAATGCAAGTGCGATCCTGCGTGGAATATTGCTCACACCTTTGGGATACGTCCGCTAAGCCGCTGCAACCTATCCAATCCAATCCTAGGATAGGTTGCAGCGGCGCGCTGCCCGCATCATTGGCTTTGAAGAGGTAACTAACAAACTCGAGTCTCTACAATTACGCCGCGATGTGGCATCATTTAGCGCATTCTACCCACTATACCACGGCAAGTGTTCTGTGGAGTTACTCTCCCCTATCTCTCCACCACCTTTTCTTCAGAGGACCACGCGCGCTGTTCTACGTTGTCACCAACTTACTGTTTCCGCTATTCCTAAACGAACAGAGAAATTTGGTGACTCATTTCTTTGTCGTACTATTCGCCAGTGGAATTCTTTGCCCGTTTGCACATTTTCCCTCCTTCCTACAATTTGGGGTCCATTGAGAGAGTTGTGAAGAAGCATTGAAGCAGGCCGGCAAGGTGAGGTTGGTTGGTGTGGCAGTTAATAACCGCTGTACCAGCTATCTTTGCGTTTGGACTTCATCACCACTTCACATCAGGTGGGGTAGTCATTTGCCTTCCTACCCAAAAAAAAGAGTTCAAGTGCGTGTCGAATATTACTCATCAATGCGTAGGTTTCGGTAGTTTTTTTTTTATAAAAGATTTGAGTGCGGAGTTTGACCACAACATGTGGTGTTAGCTAGAGCACGCAATATATAGGGAAAGGATGCAAATTTGGAATACTACTTTTAAAAAAAATCGTATTAAAGATGGATGAAGAGATAAATAAGTGAACACTGAATTTAATGTTAGAAGAACTTATATTTTATTCAAGTTAAAGTAATTAACAACCTTGGATTATCACAAGTAGGATCAATTGTGGTTTAATTAAGAAACCACAGATTGGCGTAGTTTAACTAAAGTGAATATAATTTGGAACAGGGTATTCCAAATTACAATCACCTAATGGTTAACCTGAAATACCTATTTATTTCGCTTTAAATTAAAGCATTTGAATTAAAAAAATAACGATAAGCTTATATTAAAACAGTTCTATTTCTCTAGACTGCAATAGTCACAAACGTAACAACCAGAGTCATAGCCTATTGTATTCCAAATTAGCAACATAGCCAATACTAACCTAAAATGTTTTTGTGAATTTGTGTTTCGATTAATTTCTAAAATAATTGTTGATTTCAACAACTGACCTACTTACTAGACTTAATATTTGTACAAATATAAGTCACACTCACGATGCAAGCCGATTTATTACTTACTTACTTGGATTTTTTTCTAGTCAGCACTTTCACTCCGATGAAGTTTGTCACGGAACTGTCATTATGGCTGCTTCTTAGCCACCTCGATTTTGTTTCCTAACACATAAACTACGCAAAACTGGTATACGTCAATACATGGCGCTCTAGTATATTTGTATATTGCAGTATTCCAAATTACCAACAGTATTCCAAATTAGCATCCTTTCCTCTAATAAAGACGCACGAAGGGAGTTCTATTCTCTGGTAGTACGCATGATAAATAATGATGCAGAGGACTCAGAGGAGGTATGTCAACCACGTACGAATGAAGACCCTGCCCACGTATCGTCGTCCAATGGTGAAAAGTTGTAGGCAGAATTAAGCGCTATTTACATGATGCAATTTTCTTGTACATACAAGAGCAATAATTGCATACAATTAATGAGGCACAATAATTGACTTTCAAGAATTGCTACTCTTCTAAGCCTAGAAATATAGAGAAAACGTCGTAAAAAAGAATCCATTAAATTATACCAAGAAAGTTTGGACTTTTTAACATTATCAGTACCGGAACGGTGCCCAGGGTATATTTTTCCTATCCCCATGAACTGCGTCCTTGAATTCTTTATTGAAACTAAGTTCCTTTTCGGTCTGCACTGGGCTCATTTCTCACTGGGCCCATTGAGAATTGAGCCAGGACTCGATTGGTGGTGAGCAAGTTTGTTTTCTATTAACAGGGACCAACATAGGGTTTTAATCCCTAGAGATCAAAAAAGCTTTTTAATTAATAGGGATCAAAATAGCGTTTTGATTCCTAGGGACCAAAATAGCTTTTTAATTCATAGGGCGGCCCCTAGATCACAAATAAACACGAAATATATTTTCGCCTTCGTTCATCTGTTTATTAGGTACTCAAATTCGGAATTATACAAAAATAATGTCTTATTCGTGTTGTGAGAATAAAATTATGCGAAAATGTGATACAGTTTTTTATCTTCAAAATCCTACACGAGATTCAAAAAATGTTCTCGCCTTTTTAATTATTATTATCTCCCTTAGTAAATAATCTCCTATTAACTTCGTTCCAACGGTGTTCCACGACACTAACGTTTTTTTTGTTTATTATTTCTTAGTTCAAAATCCATCAACCCCAAATTCCGCCACTTTTAATCTCAGACCAACTTTTAATATGATGATTACGACATTCTAGCGATAATAATATAACATTCAAAATTTTGGTCGATTTATTTTAGTGATGTGGAGATGAGTATGCTTGGCCACAATAGTTAAATGGCTAAGCAAAAGACTTTTGCCAGGAATACTCACTGAACAAGGTTTTCTTTTTGGACACTATTTGGGAACAGCATACCAAGTTGCAGCATACATAGATTTGGTTTGCCAAACAAGAGACTACACCAAATTGTCTATAGTTTTCTAAGCATAATGAGCACTTTATTCCCTTTTGGCACTCTGACAATATTGTTTTTGCATTATTGAATACCAGAATTTCATGGTAAGTATTTTAGCACATAGTGGGATCCTATAATTGGATGTTATCCATTTTTTATTTGATGCTGAAATGTGTTGGAGTTGAAATTGTAATAATAAAAAAATGTTTATAAATTGTAAACCTTTATTTTTATCATTAGGGAATAATATCTTGACAAATATGACATAGGTTTAGACTTAGTCTCCTGACCTTGTGTTATGAGAATCATACTCCAAATCATTATTTATATAAAAAACGGAGAAGGTGTTTCCTTGTTCTATCTCAGGAAGTAATAATTTATGCCAATGTTGAATTCTCAGTTTCATCTCTTAACTTTTACAGAGTAGGTATGTGTTTTTTCAATTACTGGTACTTAATAAATATTTCAATGATTCATGTAGGTATCTAACTGGATGGGTTTTGTTTGTTTGACGGGAAATTACAGGTACATTATAATAAATATTTCAAAGATGCATGTAGGTATCTTACTAAAATCACAGTACTTACATATCAACATAATGTATTTACATATCATACAGATGCGAAGGGGGGGGATAAAATGTTAAAATTACCTTGAACATTGAAATACATTATTTCGGTAATATTTCAGCTCTTCTATACTTTCTAATATATCTCCAAATGATCTATGCTGAAGTTTTTTCATATGTAAAGAAGAATACTCTTTAGGAAACCAGCGCTTGGCTAACTCTTTTATTGTACTTACATCAATAATTCTGTAGTGCAAATATGAGTTCAATTTCGGCATGTACTTATATAAGAATAGCCGATCCATATAAACACTGTTACCTCCCAAAGGGCATTTATTTTCTGGAATATGTGCACTCACAAAGTCCAGGAGTTGTTTTTCTGCATTTTCAATAGTTACTTCAGATTTTCTACTCGCCTCTGTCAAACCACTCTGCAAGTAAAAAAATAAACTGGAAATAACATTGACAATTGAATGAAACCTATAATTATTATTAATCAGTCTAGCCTTTTGATACATGCTCTATATATCGAGATATTAAATGATTAAGTTCCAATAAATAAATAATTGTCACAAAACTACTTTAACATACTAGATAGGTAGTTGTAATTATAATAATATTGTTTGTAGATAAAACACCAGTATAAAAAATCATGGAAATGTGAAAACATCAAATTCTGGTAGTAAATAATCTATCATTTCTCGTAAAAAGTAAAGGATAAAAAATGGTTGTGGGTTATCCCTAAGAGAGTGACAGTTTATTATTTCTACCTTCATGATGATTATAAATCTAGTTTTAATAGCGGAACTGATATCAAATTTAGGAATACTTTTATTCTATGTATTAATTACCGCGCCATGTTGAGAAACACACCAAGAGTTCATGTTTTGCAAAATTTCTTCAGGTTGGTGAACCACGATATTAGGACCAGTAGCTATTAGATTCAAATCAGCATCAGTTATTAAGCATGCAATTTCGAGAATACGATCTTTGTTTATATCAAGCCCAGTCATCTCCATGTCAATCCAGACAATCCTTTTAGCAGCTTCTTTCGGAACGACGTTATTCATGTTTGGTCGAAAGTCTGCAGCTAAATAAAATAATCTTAATATAAGTGATTATTATAATCAAAACAAGGAAAAACATAACCTGACTAGGTTCTTAGTTTTCTTAATTTACCAGTGGACTTTAAACGAGCGCAGTATGTGATACCCTTGGAGAAACGAAAAATATTCATTTTGTATCTTGAAAAGATGAAAAAATCTATTTGTTTAGATAAAAATCTAGACACTAGCAAAATACAATCGAAATATACCTTTTGTAAGAGCCGTAGAGAGCGAATTCTCTGTTTAAACGGTACGACGTGATTCCTAGGGATGAATCGATAAGTAACTACTCGATACTTTTTTTTGATACCAAGTACTTTTGGCATCGATACTTTAGAACTGAGTAACAAGTAGTATCCTGAAGTAAGTACTTGTTTCGGTACTCGGTCGGTCACTCACTGAGAAGTAGTGATGAACGAATGTCATTTTTCAAACATTTCGCGAATGCGAATGCGAATATCTGGTACTGACATTCGCGAACGCGAATGCAAATATATAGATTTTGTTCAAAATTGGCGCCAATTGTCTATGGCATGGTGGCAGTCTCGTTCGAATTGCCGAGTTGATATGGGGTGTATTCCGTAATATATACCAGTATACTGGCCAGTGCTAATGACGTCATGAATTATTAAAAATAATCCGAATAAAGAAGATTTTTGAAGTTATACTTCTTTAGCCGCGTTATGAAAAAATTATGAGAGTGAAATTTTAAGATGCGCGCGCATCACTGTAACACAAAAGTAACATAATGAAGTTAGCCGCGGGCGCGTTATGAAAAAATTATGAGAGTGAAATTTCGAGATGCGCGCGCATCACTGTAACACAATAGTAACACCATGAAGTTGGCCGCGGGCGCGTTATGAATGTTAGTGTCTGAATGTCTGAATGAATGTTAGTGGTGGATTATTAACCACTTAGTGGTTAATAATCCACCATTATTAGACATCTGTTCGAAAGGTACTTTGAACGATCCACGGAGCTCCATAAGATGATCGCGTTGTCAAAAACAATGTTGGCACGCTCGTCGCCTCTGATCACTGTTTTCATATTTATAATATTTATCCACATGTTTCTAGTTTCTATATAGACACAATGTGTTTTAGTTACTTACAAGTGCTAATTACATATGGACTAATAACTTAAATTCAGTAGTGATTTTAATTGAATATTTTGAATATTTATTTAATTTTTCAAATTAAAACTGAACTTAATTGACTGTGTTAACTATCCTTTTCCAGTCCTTTTAATATTTTATTGTAATTATTAATTATTTGCATGCAATTAAAAAATATTTTTAATGATGCTAAAGAAGTATAACTTCTCACGCGCGTACATAAGTTACACGAATCCATTTTTGACGTGACAACGTCTTAAATTAGGTTGCGGCTGGGAGTCACTTATGAAAAAGTGTAACGCTCGGTAACGTTACGATGAGTCTCTCGTGTTAAGTTTAAGTTTACATGTACAATGTTTTAGTAAACAAAATATATTTCTATAGTTAAAATTTGTGCAATTCTTATTTTCATTCAATTCCTTGTTCCTATTGTGCAATTTAATTATATTCATATCAATAAATATTCTACCGAGAAAAAGACGTTGTCACGTAAAATCTTCGCCCGTAAAACCGACTTTTTTTATTCACCTTGTCAAATAAAAGGAATTCTTTTTGTATGGATGCCATTATTGTTCTTTAAATAAAAAAGAAATAAAATGCGAATGCATCTCACAGACGCTCGGTCATACGTCATATTTGTTTTCCCGGTAAAAATATGGTAGCATACCAGTACAATATGGTGTCGGATTCGTGACGTCATTACCACTGGCCAGTATACTGATGTATATTTCGGAATACACCCATGCACTTATCCGACTGAAGTGTCATTCCGCTCGCGCCGGTCTTTTCGTAAACAAAACAAGTGAATTTTGATGTTAGAGTTTGAATAGTGATCTATTAATATGAGTGAATCGAATTCTAGTGAAATGTGAACTTATTTCACATTTTGCGATGGTGAACAAGCTAAATGCAAGCTGTGTAACAATGAATATTCAAGGAAAGGAAGAACTACAACTTCTTCAAATTGTTTTTTGATGTGTAACATCTTTCCTCTCGCTTTCCTGCAATTTGTGGGAGTGATTTCGTGAAATGGAACGGAAGTGTTTAATAGGAAGTTGCAAAAGCGCCCGCTATTTGATTTGATTTTAGATCATAATGTTCAAATGGCTTATTCCTTTTTTAGTAGGTTTTATTTCATTTTTTACTAATATAAGGTGAGGTTTCAAATGTTACACATCATACGCGACTACTGTAAGTCTCGCTCATTTTTTTCTAATATGTATTCCTATTCGCAAAACATTCGCAGAGATTTTGCGAATGCCAACGTAAATGCGAATATTCAAAAATATGCGAATATTTGCGAATGCGGATGCGAATATTCGTTACAGCACTGAGAAGTATGAAAAAAACCCATAGGCATATTATTTACTGTATGGTCAGGTGTCTCGTTGCAATTTATGTTTCGCGAACGCATCTTTTCTACGGCTCAGTTGGCAGCCTTGCGTATGATTTATATTTATTCCGATTTATATGTTATATTAAAACTGTGACTGAAATTGTAATTGTAATATCGTTCGCCGATATTTATCGATACAAGTAAGAATCGATACTTTTCATTCGATACCGAGTAAGCTTCGATACTTTATGACCGACGCAGTATCGAGTAAAGTTATCCATACCTAGATGGTATCGTTTCATCCCTAGTGATTCCATAGACGTAGTATTACGTTCATAGAGTACTTTCTTTATGCCTCAGAAGAACAGAGTAAAGCCGGCAATATATTTATCTGTCGGGTTGTGTGGTGATGACCTGTCAGAGAGAGACGAGAGGTACAAACAGGGGGGGACAATTCCATACAAGCATTTTATTTACAAATAACGTGGTGCCTCTTCATTATTTCGCTAGTACTTCTTGGTGACTTGCGTGATGTGCGCAAGACAGACAGACTAGATGGAGCTTCACTTAGAAATTAAAAAGTTTTTATTAATAATACCCCTTTTATTAAAATGATAGCTCGAAATGTTTATTATTCTTTTTCAATCTATTACTCATGTTATTAAATATATTTTGCAGATAGCAACTCGTGTAGTAAGTGTGATGAACTTAGAGTATATACAGAATGGTCCAACTAGTGACATCAACAAATTATTTTTAGATTCCTCGTGCCTTGGGGAAATACCCCATAAATGTTCCGCGATTTTTCTTAGATTTCGAGTTATAATTTTTTTGTGTATTTTTAATGATTTCTGCCAGCGAGGTTTCAAAAATTCTTATCTTTTTTCGTAGTAGGTATTTTGCAGTATTTTGACGTGACAACGTCTTAAATTAGGTTGCGGCTGGGAGTCACTTATGAAAAAGTGTAACGCTCGGTAACGTTACGATGAGTCTCTCGTGTTAAGTTTAAGTTTACATGTACAATGTTTTAGTAAACAAAATATATTTCTATAGTTAAAATTTGTGCAATTCTTATTTTCATTCAATTCCTTGTTCCTATTGTGCAATTTAATTATATTCATATCAATAAATATTCTACCGAGAAAAAGACGTTTCACGTAAAATCTTCGCCCGTAAAACCGACTTTACAGGCAACCATTTTTTTTTGTAACATGATTGTCTTGAATGTTGTTTTAATAAAAAAATAACTCAGCTTCCTGCAATCACTTAAAGTTACTCAAAAAAGGCTTGAAAGTTGGATCTTTAGTTTTTAGTAGGATTTACTCAAACGTTCAACTTCAATACAAAAATACAAAAAGGAAATGCCATAGCTTCTGGCTTAAATTAAAAACTCCGCATGCTTCTAAACAACCAACAATCATTAAAAAAAATGTACTTAATCATTTGTGTTTTGAAGGCGGATAGGCTAAAAAACATTGAAACATGATCAATTTTTATCATTGTTATGGTAAATTTAACTTAAAAATGTAATTTCAAATTAAATTTAATTGAAATTCCTGTAAAATAACTTTAGCATGTGTAATTTGACAATAATTTCGGTTTCACCACTAAGATTTAACCCACAATAATTAAAATCGCTTATTATCTATATCGAAAGACACTACAACAGGAGCCTGCTCATAGTTAAAAATCCACTCAGTCTTAAACGTGGATTATGCATGGATTATGTGAATAGACTATTACGGAACGGAAGAAGAATCGTAACTAAATATACTGCCTTAACCACAACACAACAGCAACAGCAACACTTATTATAAAAAAAATATGAAGACCAATAATAATCATCATTTACTCGTAACCCAACATTTTACATTTTAAGTAACTATTAGTCTAATTAAGTCTAGGGGTATACATATTAAAAGCTCAAGAAATGGACCCCTAACCAGGGGCGTCTTAACCATATGCGGCGCCCTTGTAAGTAAGCCAATAAAGCACCCTTTTAAAAAAATATAGACAAATTCATTTTTCATTGTATAGACTGCTACAAAAATATAGAAGAAATAAATCACATAAATAGAGCAAGCATATATATCTAATATAGTTTAACCGAGTTGACTAAAAACTAATATTTATAAAGTTGTAGTTGGGTAAGGTAAGTAGGTAGGCAGGTAGGTACTATCTACCACCAGATTCATTCAAATGTTGATCGCCAGGCCCGACTGGCACCCCCTAGGGCCCAGCGCCCGGGTGCGGCCGCACCCAGCGCTCCTATGGGACAAACGCCCCTGCCCCTAACCCAGAAACTAGCAAAAACTGTAGTATCAAGGTAAGTAATTCCTCAGTCGATATTTTGCAAAATTTTATTTTAAATATAATACAGGTGAATAAGTTTGACTACAGCTATGGTGATGTGTAATCAACCGAATGAAACTAAAACAATTTAACAATTTTGATTAAAAATCGAACAAGAATTGAGACATAACTTACAGAAGCGGAAAGAAAAATAAAGCAAGAAAATTCAAGTAGCTTCAGACAATTAAAAAATAACTTTTTAAGACATTGTCAATTGTGTATTCAAGTTAGATAAATAGTAATTTTTCAGTAATTTGTGGTTTTTATTTGTATCAAAAAAACAGGTAATTTCCCAACCAGCCATTTAGATCTTTATTCTTGCTCACATTTTAAATCTTAGTGGTGAAACCGAAATTATTATAAAATTCAACATGCTAAAGTTATCTAAAGAAAATATAACTAGAAAAAATTCCACGCGGCCCAGGCAGCAGACGGGACTCGAACCCGCACCCTTCGCTATCCGGGCGAATGCACTGACCAATTATGCTACCGCAGCCCTAACGGACCGCGTCAAAATTCTTCTAGCCATTCTTAAGCTGCAAGGCAGCGCCATCTCTTCGCATTATAGGTGACCCACAATGTCAAATGAGTACTTTTACAAATATTAAACATTTGAAAGAAGAAATAACAATTATAGTAATGGATCACTTTGTTGTCCGTCCGTCTGTCAAGACGGTTTTTCTCAGGATCGCGTGGAGGTATCAAACTGAAATTCATACCTAATGCTCAGATCTACTGTCATTTGGAGCTGTGATATAATCAGAATTCTAAGCCAAAGCAATCAAAAGATACAGCCGTTCATGTCGCAAATTTTCGAAACTCGCACGGGAATCAAAACCTACAGGATACTTCCCGTGAACTTAGAATCTTGGAATTTGATACGAAGTAACGTCTTATAGTACAGATAAAGGAAAATTGTGAAAATGGTAAATTTTTAGTTACATCATATAACTAATAACATTTTTTTGAAAATTCAGGTTTCTACGTGCGCGAGTCTGACTCGCACTTGGACGGTTTTTTTTTCTGTCACATCACATAAAACAATTTTCAGACTGATTAGAGCAATGTCGTCGTCTGTGCAAGACATAACGGTGTCGATTCTGGCAGGATTGTCTAAACTTAAATCTAAATTTAACATCAATCTGTCCTTTACATTCTGTGTAGAGAATAACAAAAATACACTGGTGTCGATTCTGGCGTGATTCTCTAAACTTAAAACTAAATTTAACATCAGTCTCTCTTTTTCATTCTGTGTAAAGAATGACAAGGATACGTTGTCATATTTAAGTTTAGATTTAGAGAATCATGCCAGAATCGATACCACTGTTGTCAAATTTAAGTTTAGCTTTAGGCCGTATACAGAAAGAAAGCTGAAAGCCGATCGGCGCCGATAAGCGCCGATACGCGCTGGTCCGAATAATAAATAATTTGTATTTGAATTATTATTTAACTTAAATTTGACAGCAGTATATCCTTGTCATTCTCTATACAGAATGAAAAGGAGAGACTGATGTTAAATTTAGTTTTAAGTTTAGAGAATCACGCCAGAATTGGTACCATTATCCTTAGATTAAATCAATCTAAGTTATAATCTTTTTATAAATCTGATAACTTTATCTTTTACTAACTAAGCGCTAAAATTATTTGTTTCGTACTTACCGAATGGTGACAACAAGTCTTTCTTCTGGAAGGATTGGTTGTTTATGCCAATTGCCCCAATTTTTCATCAAACGGTTTTTCACTAAATCCAAAATGTAATAAAATGTTTCTTGAATCATTCTTGTATATGTATAAAATCTTTCTTCATCAAATTTAATTTTTTTTACAAATAAATGATGGTATTCTCCGAAACGTTTCCTTTCTCTATTTATAGGATGTATAGCTGTTTTTCGCATTTTTAAATAAACATTTTCTAACAAAACCAAATCATCGTCCGATGAGTCCGACATTTTGCTTGATCTGCTTTAATCGGCTTCCTTTATGTAGGAAGGATCGGCGCCGATCGGCTTTCGGCTTTCTTTCTGTATACGGCCTTAGAGAATCATGCCAGAATCGGCACCATTGACTCACTTGCTTCTTTGCATGAACTGTCAGCGCGTCCCTAAAGAAAGTAATCACGGCGTTTTAGGCACGTCCTGCCGCTTGAACGTGAGTGGTCTCCGCTTTGCCACTGGATGTCAAGCCGCTTTATCAAGCAGCACGAACAGTGGTGATGTGGAGTGATGAAGGTGACCATTAGAGAATTATATCTAAAAAGACATCTTAATAGTTACTCTTGTATTTTTTTGGCGTCTGTCGTCTCCATCAAAAGAAAAAAGGTTTTTTGTAGAGGATTAAAACCTGAATTTTGGGAAGAATTCGGGAAATGCGGGTTGTTACCTGACAACACTGGTTCTGTCTGTCTTGTCTGTGTCTGTGGACTAGTCTAGATTGTCATGGTGTGTAAAGGTTGATTTTGTTTTTGTTACATTTTTCACTCTATTCAAAATAATACACCGCAGGATACAATGAACAGAATGATCCTAAATCATTGTCGGTATATAAAGAAATCAAGTAAGTAGTAGATTTTCTATCATAATCATATGCGAACCTAATTCAATACTAACCTATCTAGAGTTTATCTACTGATTTGCTATGTTAATAATGAAAACATATAAAACACTAAGTAAATATTCTCAATTAGCTTTAATAAACTCACTATAAAATGTTGCACTTGATTATTTGTGTACTTTTCTGAATTCCACATGCGCCGTTGGTGATTGTTTTTGATGACTTGTATTGCAGTTCATGTTTATAAAACAAATATTATAAATGCAGTGAACATAGGATGGTAGAATGTTCGGATAATATAACTAATATGATTGATTTCATTTTAGCCTTATTATGGGAGACCAGACTCTATCAAAATTTTCCACACATAACACTCTCAAGGTCATTGTCCTACTACACAAACCAGCCATTAGGCCTGCAGTATGATATTTCACAGAAAACCGTCAACGCAAGAATAAGTTTGTACCCCTATATAAGAACAATTTCAACAACAAACTGTAATTATGATAAAGAGCCATTAAAACCATCCTCAAAAGTTGAAGCCACAGTTGAGACAATAAAAAAAGGCATAGAAGAAAAAGAAAAACTACCTAAAAAAGAGGAAAAAAAGAAAAAATCATTAAAAGAGCGAGTGATGGATGAACTCCGACATTATTACCATGGCTTTAGATTATTATTCATAGAAATAAGGATATCCACTTCGCTATGTTTTAGGATTTTAAAAGGAGAGTCCTTGACACGTCGAGAACACAGGCTTTTGGTGACAACAATTGGCGACCTGTTTAGAATGGTACCTTTTATAGTTTTCATTGTTGTACCATTCTTGGAATTTGCTTTGCCACTTTTTATCAAGTTATTTCCCAACATGTTGCCATCGACATTTGAGAGCAGAGATCAAAAGGAAGCAAAGTTAAAGCAGCACTTGAAGGTGAAGTTGGAAATGGCAAAATTTTTCCAAGAAACACTGGATCAAATGGCACCGCAGGCCAGTAACAGGCATTCTGAGATTGCGAAAGAGTTTTCTATGTTTTTTAACAAGGTACGAACCACGGGTGATGTGGCAACGAGCGAGGAGATTATGAAATTCTCTAAGTTGTTTGAAGATGAAATCACTTTAGATTCTTTGCAAAGACCACATCTAGTTGCATTATGTAAAGTTTTGAATGTAAGCACTATTGGTACTAGTGCCATGTTAAGGTTCAATTTGAAGATGAAGTTGAGGTCTCTAGCAGCAGATGACAAGATGATTGCAAAAGAGGGAGTGGACAGTTTGAATTTTAGTGAATTACAGCAGGCTTGTAGAGCGCGAGGTATGAGAGCATATGGTGTTTCAGAAGAGAGACTTAAAAAAGAATTAAAGAATTGGCTAGATCTGTCATTGAATGAAAAAGTTCCACCATCCTTACTACTGCTTTCAAGAGCTTTGATGGTACCTGAGCATGTGCCCACTACATATAAACTGAAGGCTACAATATCTGCATTGCCAGAACAGGTTGTTACTCAGACGAAAGCTGCCATAGGAGAAAAAGAAGGCAAAGTGGACTTCAAGGTATGGTATTGTTAAAGTAAAAATATTACCAGCCCCTCTACCACATAAATATATTAATATAAACTTTATCTAAATTTTGAAGTCCCCTGAGAAGAGGCTACCTTTAATTTTACTCAGAAGGCATAACCATAACCATTACATAAAATTGTATCAGTATTATTTTTCTTATTAATACAAAAGATCCAATCCTTCTCAACCTCTAAATAAATAAAACCTTATTTGATTGTAATACAGAGTAAATGCAATTATCCCAAATTACAAAATTCATATTATGCCATAAAAGCAATATTTTAACTACTTTACTTATAAAACTATGTACTCTGCATTGTTTTTAAATAATAAATTATCAAATCATACTTAGACAAAAGCAGAAGCGATCAAATTGGAAGAACAAAAGATCAAGGAAGAGAAGAAAGAACTTCAAGAAGCAGAAAGGCAAAAGGAAACCTTGGAAGCCAAAAAGAGAGAGAAAGAGGAACTCAAGGACAAAGCTCCAATTATCGATACAGAGTCTACTCCTGCCATGATAGATCCAGCACCTGTTATTACAATTGAATCCAAGAAGCCTGAAGAGGGTCTGTCTGGTAAAGACATTGAAGTAATTGAAGATGCTTTAGAGAAATTAGGTGAGTTGGCAACAATCCATTTTTCTAAAAAGTTCAAGTTCAAACTATTTGCTATATCTGTGTTTTCAATGATGTTTTCTTGTAAGACACCTCATTAATAAAATTAGAAATTAACTCACAACAGTTCATATTTTGTATTATTGTTTACCCAATAATATTCATTCTCATTGGAAAATCAGCATAGATGAGAATAATGAGAGCTGGTGTGGCAGGTAGAACTGCTGTATCTGCTATCTTCGCGTCTGGACTTTACCTTAAACTACTGAAACTGATAACCTCTTTAACAAAATAGGTATTTAAGATAACTATAAACTTAAAAAATGGTCCTCTACAATATTGCCTGAGTGATTGCATTCCGTGCAGTGCACATTATAAAAATTATAATACAAGACCCTGGTGGGGTAGTTTTCGTTAAAACTTATTTGTAACATGGTTGTGTGACATAATAATAAATTGCTTACAATGAAGACTTGAGTTAACAAATCTTAAATAAGCTCCGATTTCCATTTTATATTGTTATTGTATGGAAATGAGTTCTTATGTACAATACCTTCTCATATAAAAAAGAATGGATAGGTTGGATTAAAATAAAAAATTACATTGTGAAATGACATTCAAGATTTCTCCCATTTGTTCCTTCCAAAAGGCAAGCAAGGGATCAGTCTAGATAAAGCCTTGTTAAGCCACAGAAAATAAAAAAACACATGGACTTATGATAAAGGAGAAAGTGGGAGTCAACCTAAACAGATCTTAACCTTCTATCTCTCTCTTCAGCCAAACAAAACTCATGTGACGATTTTAACATGTTACAACCTATATCCTATTTTATAGTAGATATCAAGAATTAAATAATATTGAAACTCAATAATTAAGTAACCAAAAACATAATCTGTATGACCTTTACAACTGTTCAATATAATGTCAAATCAACATGTATTGAGTCTTGTGTGTCGAAGTAAGAAATAGCCTATGTTGAGAAATCAGAAAATAATAGTATCAAACATAATCTTATCTGATATAAGTCTTTCAACATACTGTTGAAAATGCAATATTGCTTTGTAAAATATGTTTAAGCTTAAAGATATAAGTCTTTCAACATACTGTTGAAAATGCAATATTGCTTTGTAAAATATGTTTAAGCTTAAAGATATAAATAACCCTTTTACTCTAAACTATGACTTTGTAATTAAATGACAAAGAAATCCTGCATTATGCATAGTAATGATCTATTCATTAAGTACAATTTTATTGTTATTCTATAGATGTAACGTTTTCATTCTAATAAAAGTTTGCCAATAACATTTTCCAAAAAATTATGTAGAAGTTCAAAAGGGTTTAAAACTAAATTATTATTTAAGATTTTTGGGGCTGTTCAGTCCTAATGGAACTGTAGTCACTGAGACCTGGAAGATCTATTGTGACTTGCCACCAAGTTGAATTATCTCTTTTAGCCCAACAGCTTCCAAAAAGCTCAAAACGTTTCTAGTGTCCAGGCTGCTTATTTCTATTAACTCAGCAGTCCAATTTTTCAAGTAACCTTCTATTAGTGATTTAGCGTGCTCTTATGCTGGTTGGTTTAACCAGTATTTTTACGATTCGCCTAGAAGGGTTGCCACTAAAAGGTTTTGGAAACATCTGTTGCCCCTGTGCCCTTGCTCTTGCTAGGTCATCAGCTTTCTCGCTGCCTAATATCCCTTAATGACCTGGTACCCCTCTAAGAATAACTTTATTCTTTTTACCCAGGTTATTCAGTTGATCAACGCAGTCTTTCACTAATTTCGAGAATATCGTGTTCGATTTAATGGCGTTAAGTGCTGCTAGGCTCTCTGAAAAGATATATTGGGCCTGTTTTGTGTAGTTTCATTGACGATTGGCTTCTGCACATTCTATGGTGGCATATACCTCTAGCGGGAATATAGTTTTTAGAACATTTTGGAGCTATCTGTAAACCAGATTAAACTTCCAGCCTTGCAGGATTCATAGTCTTTTGACCACGTTCCACCATTTCATTTCTGGCAAAATTACTCATTGGAATCATTAAATCTGTAGTCATTGCTAATGGTGTTAGTTCAAGTGCTGTTTGGTGGAGAGACCTCAGTGCTTGAGAATGCCAGTTATTCCTGCTAGTAGTGCTTACTCTGTATATACATGCTTTCGCCTCCTTTATTTAAAACTAAATAGAATAAAGTCATGTTTATGAAATAAATATGAAAAGGGTGCCTGCACCCATTGGTCCTATACATTGGCTGCATAGGATAAATTAACTTTTATCTGGTACTTCACCCTCTTTATGTAAGTGTTTGCCCATTTATGTGATCCCTTTTAAGTCAATAGCAAAATTCATTTATCAAATGTCTCAATCAATCAGCAGTTTAGTGTAAAAACATTACAGATAGTTATTTAAAAAAAATATATTCATGGTTAAATAAAAAAGGTAAATGCAACATTTCAGCTGAGCAGAAAAAGTCCCTGTTGCTTGAGAAAGAGAGCATTCAAGAGTTGAAGGCTGAGCTTTCAGAATACAGTGAAGATGTACAGGAGATGAATGAGATTGTGAAGACCAAACAGGCAGACATCAAATTGACTAAGGGAGCTAAAAGGTATGCAGAACAGTTACAAAAATGTTCTTTCACGTAAATCGTTCATTCATTTAATTGTCCACTTAGGGACTAAGTGCAGAAACCGTAACCCTTAACATGTAACCTAAATGACGCTATCTGTGAAAAAAATCAAATTTCTGATGAGAATAAATAGGCTATTTTTTATCGGTAATGACTAACACGAGAAAACACTTCATTGCTGTCTGTGAAGGTCCCTGAGAACTATTTTTATCTTGAGTCTACTATCCCGTGGTCTGTGTAAGCAAAATGGCCGTCAAACCCTCTGATAAATTTCGAGTTCTACTGAACATAATTGTCTTCATTTATGTCTTAAATCAATCTTAAATATTTTCTGCGTCTATTTATATTAATCTATTCTATAACTTAACATTGTATTACGGTATTGCGTGGCAGATATCCGCCACTTCCACAGACAGGGGTTTTTTGATGTTGGCAGAAATCTGCCATTTACGTTTAAGATGTCTTCATCATATTATCTGTTTAACAATGGACCAATAAGTTGTCCATGGATTAAAAGAACATCTATATTTATAATGTTGTATTTATCTTTAGGCCAAGAGGGCTATGGGCTTGGGTGGCAGAAGTAGTATAAAGGCACCTATGTTTTGATTTGATTATTGGCCGGGGTGCTAGATTTTAAAATACGCCCCTGCTTATATTAAACCAAATTGGTGAATAGTTGTTTCTAAATCAACCGTTTAAACTAGTTTTGCATTTTCTATCACCTTTGTATTTGACGTCATAAAAATTTTTACAGATTATATCGAGCAGTTAATAATATGATACTTAAATTGGACTCCGCTTTGGTTGAGTTGGAAAGTAAAGAAAAAGCTCTTAAAACAACTCTGGAGCAGACCAAGTTTGAGCCAGAAAAAGCCAAGGAACAACTGATTCAAATCGATGAACTGATGCATTCAATAAAGAGTCTCCAAAAAGTACCTGATGAGGCCAAGTTGAAACTAATACAGGATGTTTTGGGAAGACTGGATGATGATTTCGATGGACAATTGAAGATTGATGATGTGTTGAAGGTGAGTTTGTGTTAATTCTATTTAGCAGAACTAACTAAAATTATTCAGGTTAAAATTTTCAATATTATGACTTATTGGACTAAAGAATTAGTACAAGAACAAGAATGTCAAATTATGCTTGTAGAGTTTACACTTTTGTAGATAATAGAGGTTCTCAATATTTTGCGGTAAACTCTTTCAGCATATTTATATTCAGGATTCGTTGCTGGTGGATTGTATTTATTTTCAACTTGAATGTGATAATAATAATAAAAATTTACAGCATTGTAATTACTTGAAAGTGCATGTTACACAATGACACGCTAGTAAATTTTATTTATGTATGTACAGCAATTGTTTCTTTCCTGCACCGATGATGTAATCTATAAAATTACACAATAATTGCAGATGTTAGAGATAATAGGCAACGAAAACGTACACTTATCCGAGAAACAGATGGCTGAATTGATTGAACTGTTAGATAAAGAAGAGATTCTCGAAGTTGAGAGTAAAATCCAGAAAGCGCTCGACAAAGCTGCCGTGGCTGCTAAGGAGCAAGACAAATCCACAGAATCTGAGGGAAAGGTAAAATTTTCACTTTTATATTGTTAAATAAACCAATAATAACAGTAACTACTGACAACTCATACAATGTATTATCCCAAACTAATCGAAGCTTAGCTTAACTTATAATTTAGACGTGTGGATGACTGAAGGTGTTTTCTATGTAAAGAGGACAAAGCATATGTCCTTCTTGATAGAAAGCCCCTTCCATATCCGATAGACAAGTGTTCCTTAAATTTATTACTTACAAAAATTCCAAAAATATTTAAGGAAAATAAAACATACCATGAATTGAATAACAACACTTTATTAGTAGTTCATCAAATCAACACTTATTCACTAATTCAGTAAAATGTTAGGTTAAACGCGTATTCACCACCTGACTAAATTCAGACGTCCTAGTTAGGATCCTAAAAAGGAAGCTAATTAGAAGCTTCTGATTACAATTTAGTTACTGATTCAGTCAGTTGCAAGCGCGCGGCGAATTCAGTCGGGACTTTTTCGTAATGGCTCCAGTCCTATCTAAGCAACAAAAAAACGGTCTTTTCGTAGGCCTGGCTGTTGACTCAATAAAAATAAATAAGAAGATACGGCATATGTTTATAACTTCTTTTTCTTTTACCGCCGACATCGCGCACTTGCTTAATTCGTGATCGTATACAAAATCACGTCCTCACGCAGTAAAGCCTGCGGTGCGACTGAAGCATTTAAACCCTATCACACGTTCTTAAATCGCTTTCTAATTACGATACTAAATTATTTAAGGCAGTCAGAAGCCACATTTCTTCCGATTTCGGGTGCTAAATAGGATCCTAACTTCCTAAATGCTATTTCACCTGACTGAATTAGTTACCGAATGATTTAGAACGTCTGAATTTAATCAGGTGGAATACGCGCTTTAACGTCCTTTTAACATACTATGGTACGGGGGCTGCTTTTAAGAATTTGCTTGCCATACTAAAGTATCAATCGTGCGTTGCCTACCCTTACCCCATTCCCTACCTCTGGAGCCACGGATTTTTATTTACCAATAGAAACATAACACCACCAAAAGGTAGTTATTTACAGTGAAATAATCTTCTTCTGTAAGTTACTAGTTACTTCCCCAGATAGGCGTTCATTCGATTATGCGTTATGCCTTACCGTCTATTAAGGTTTTATCAAAGTACATATATATTATTGTTTTTCTTTTACTTATATAGTATGTATTATAAACTTAATATTGAAGTCTCTATTACTGACACACCACGCTTTTGGAGTTTATTGGCATTAGGATGACGGAGTTTACAGGAATTAGAATGACGTCACTCAGTATGTAGTATAGTCGGCATATAAAGCGACTACGTTTTAATTGTTGCTTTTAAATTTCATCCATCGCCTTACAGTAAATATATGTTTACATAATTGATAAGTAGAAACTAAAAAAAAACTAAAAGTCTATCCTTATTCATTCGTATTCATAATATTTACTGCATACCTCATTTGGTTCATGATAAATATTCTATCAATCGTCATAGATGTATAATATAAAGCGCTCGTTTAACATTCTATTTACTGGAACTGTACACTTATCTGGTAATGTGCCAATGTTTTGGTATAATCACTATTTTTAGGTTGGGTTTTCTTTGTACGTTTGAGAAAATTTTATATTTTAGGAATTATGTTTTAAGAATACTCCAGACATCATTTTATTAGGAATATGAACCCGTCGGTCGTACGGTCAAGGCCCCACACGACAGTTAATATATATATACACTGCGAATATAGTTCTTATCTCTACGAAATAAAGGCCCTGTCAATATCACATAGTGTAGTAACCCAAATTTTTAAGGTCCCAAAGGAAGATGAATGAAACCCTATTATTAGGTTGTCTATTGTCCATCCGTCAGTTTGTAAGCGTACTATATCTCATTTTTAGTTTAAAATCATCCTCTCATTATATTCGATTAAAATAAATTTAATAATTCGAGTGCAAGAGACACTTAACTGTAAAGTACAACAAGTAACAATGATATTAATGAATGACGGTATAATATCCTTATCACTGCCACATTTTACAAATCATCCTTTAAATTAGGTAAACCCGTCTGTTGGGGACGAGAGTTGCTGGATTTCCATTTTATATATACTGTTTTGTAATCGGTAGGTAGTTAACAACGAACATATTGAATCTAAACCATAAACGACAAAAATACGAATTTACATACAAATGTCTACTGCCCAAGTTTGTTTGACAATAGTTTTATGCGCCGGTACTTCACATAGTTATTCGAATTAGCTATTTGTAAACTTGACAACAGACTATCCTTCTTATTTCCTATAGATCATGACAAGGACATACTGCTGCCAAAATGACAAATAGCAAATACCATGACGTGCATAGCATGCTCATGATGTTTGCCTCTAAGTATAGCAAAAGTGTAAAAGTACTGGAAAAAGTTTGCTTACATTTGCTTTGTTTCAATCCGCAGAGTTTATTCGACATAATTAGGGAGGCGCAGCGGAGAAGAGAGATGAAGAAAGCAGAAAAAAAGGTTGAGGAACCAGTGGTGCCCAAGAGTGATGCCATAGTAAAACCAGAGGAGAGCAGTAAAAGGCCAGAGAGCCATTGATGAGGTCATCGAACGGCTTAAACTTAGTCATCCCTCGCTTTGGTTTGAATCGACAATACCACAACTGAGGGCAATCTAAAAACAACCCAGTTGAGGTTGATAACTCTATAATGTATAAACATACATAATATTTAGTATTAACGAATACTATAACCTTATTATGTCAGTGTGAACCGGTTCATGAAGGCTGCAAGTCCGTTTTTATTAATATATTTCATACTTATATTTTTATATCCTTTATTATTTTGTAATCTCATGAAAGAGCAATCATATAATTTCCACATAAAAGAATGTGTCGTAGGACAGTGCTAATGTTCATTAAGTTATTGACCATTAATATTATTGTTAGTAGTGTTTCGGTTTGGCATATGGTAACTGTAAAACATACATGATATTGTATGATTCTACAGATAAAAACGTTACCCTAGTGACAATAATAATTTTTAACATTGTAAATCAATCACGTAATGTAAATAATTTTTGCATAGCATTATATTATATAAAGAATGTCTTTCCGTACCGTACAAAGTTATCTTGATGTTGTATTTTTTTTCCTCTAATTTATTTCACTGCTGTATTTGTTAGTTCAGAGATTTATTGTATTGTTTATGCATTTCTGTGATCTATTCAGTTTTAAGATTATTTAATTTATAATTAGCAGTGTGTGTAATATGTTGGTGCACAAATTGTGAAAAAGTCGAAAGTGTTTGTGTTTCGTGTATTAGTCGTTCGTCAAAACTATTCCCGGTTCTTTGCGTACTTGCGTTAGGGAAGCTTAAATAATTGTTGTTGTAACTGATTGCTATTTTAAGCATTATAACGAACTAATACAGTACACATTTTTATTCCAATGGTTGAGGAGATTGTTTATTGTAACGAATAGACCTGTAATTGTTTCTAAATTGTCTTTTCTGATAGTGGGATACCAAGAAAACTATGAAAACCATTATATATTATACATATGGAAATGCAATCTTTAACTGTTTGTTAAATTTGTAAACTTCATAAATAATAATTGTATTTTATAGTACAACAATACGATTTACTTATTGGACTAATGACTATTAAAAAATTGTATATGAGATGACAAAATTCATTTGGTCCAATTGAAAAAGTGTTTTTTTTACAACAACCACCATGATAATAAGATTGTCTGTAGTAAATTATAAAATGTCCTATTGTTTAAGCAACACCACTTTTTCCCGCAGAACTATACAGAGAAACTTCTAAAAATAAAATAAAGAAATGTTATTATAGACAAAAACTGATTTTTCTTTTTTAAGTACTCTTATCAATAAGGTAGAAAAATCTGAAATGGGTGCCAATTGAATAAAATAACACTATTCTGTACCCTTAGCACGACCCATTATCGAATTCGAATGGTTCGCGAGTGCGAAATGTCATTGTCAAATGTGTAATGATTTTTAGTTCTCGTTACGTACTTTGTGGCGCTGCTGTTAAGTTTCCATTCATAATTTGACATTGACATTTCGCCAGGGGCGGTCTTAGCTTAACTTTTCTGTGGTGCAAGATCATATGGTGGCCCCAGTTTACATAGACACGTAAAAAATAACATACCTTATTAATTAAAAACTAGTTTTACACGGGTTAATGCACGAAACTTTATTTATTTATTGACGTTTCGCAGCCTTTACAGGCCGCGTCGTCGGAATAATTTAATAAACTTAACTAGTTTTATTTAATGAGTGATGTGCGTGAAAACCTAAGAAACAAATATCTAATTAATTTTACATTTATGTTCTTTATTCCGTATCATTTTTTTGATGACATGAAGAGAATAAAGGAAATATATTAATTTGACTATACATATTTATTTAATTAAAAACTCTTAGAAACTAGAAAATCACTTTTCTTGCTTTTGCGCTTGCGATTTTTTTTATTAAATCTGAATAATTTAATCGTTGGCCAATGTCATTTTCTATTGATAGAATAGCAAGATCTGACAATCTTTCTCGACACATTGTCGAAGGTAAGTACGTTTTAATTTCAGGTCATTAAAATCCGAAGCACTGTCCACACATTCGGGAAAATATCCTGCCATTTTTTTTAATATGTTGAAGGACTTTTATTGGCTCTGCTGATTCAAGGTTTTTTTAATAATGAATTCAGACTCAAAAGTTCTTCAACCAATTCGCAACTAGACACATCACATTTCCCCATCGGTTAAAATCATTTGCAAATCTGCACAGGTTTTTTCTAATAACCTCCTGAGACCCCTGGTGTAACCCGTGACACTTGCAGATATATTTTTTTTTTCGCGCCATTTATTGATGTAACTGCAAACTACGTCAATGGCATGAAAGGTTACGACTTGTGCTCAACCGCTAGGTAGGATATGGCTCATTAATCGGAGTTTGAATCTAGCGAAAATTTTAGTTGCAATTTTGAATAAGTGCAAATACCGACATGTCGACATCCCGGAGCGGTAAATCTTATTTTAATTACGTTTGTCGTTATTGTTTTGTGATATTTGTGTACACGGTTCATTGATCTCTCAATAATGATGATAAATATTAGAAAAAAAATATATATCTTACCAGTATTTTAACCCTTTTATTTGGGTGTCACAGGTGACACTTTGGTCACTCGTGACTTAAAATGTGAACTTTTACAGTACAGAGAGAAGCTGAAATCGAAGATTCATTTTTCATTTTAAATAGCTCCAATATCGAAGATATTGATAAAAATGAAAAGGAAAGCTTCATTCAAGGAGAAGAAGACGAGTCTGAAGAGTAAACCCCTCGGTCATCTGATTGTAGCGAGTAGGATGATTCAGACGAGGAGCCGCTTTCTTCTGTAGTGAGTTCTCGTATCGTAAGGATATCCACAGGCCGCCCCTTGTCATGGGATCCTACAAACAACTTCCAGAGCCCTTCAAACAATCTTCATGAGGGTCCACCATTGCTTGATGCAACTACTAGTGCATAACCTTCCTACGAATACTTTTACCAATACATCGAACCTGATTTTTTTGTACAAATATCACTTTGTACCAATATTTGCAGCATACACAGAACTGGCAGATCTTTAGATACAAACCCAGAAGAAATGCGAACTTCGTGTGTTCCAGGCTGCGGAAACCATGGCACTATTAGTGGCTACTGTTATGACGCCAATAGGTGTTTTCAGTTGAGTAGCAACATAAAAGTTGTTGACGATAAGTTAATAACATCTTCTATGAAAGTTGTTGGCCGATTCTGGAAAATTGGTCCTCTGGTATCCACTATTGAGCATAGTTGTAGACAAAACCAAAGAGGCCAAAATGTGGCAATAGGTGAACAAATTATTCCGTTTAGAGGAAAGTGTAAAATGAAGCAGGTCGTGTAAGGAAAACCCAAGGAAAATCCTCATGGACTTCCACTGGACCTTTATTTGTACCAGGGAGGGGGAACCAGCATAGAATCGGAAGCATTATACCTAATGCCAGAGAAACCTCGAAGTAGCCCTGTTACTGAAACAGAAGAGGAAGAATTCGAAGTTGAAGCCTGGTCTTCAAACCGAAAACGTAGAATTTTCGAACCCATTCCCCACGTTGCCAAGCGACTAAAAGAAGCTCATCACATGCCCATGTTTATAAAGGAAAATCGGTCAAAATGTCGGCTTACTTCATGTAATCAGCAACCCTTCGTTAAGTGTTCAAGCTGCAACATATTTCTATGTTTTAATGCAAACCGTTTTTTTATACTTTTCATACTACACAATGATTTAACTAAAGCTAGATTATTACTGGTTCGTCAATAAAACGACTATAATTCGGAAACACCAAAACATCTCACATTTATTTAATGAAAAAGTTAATTTATTTTAAATAAAACGTTGATTGATTAGAACCTGTTTTAATGTAATTTGAACCCGTTGTGTCACTGGTGACACCCCCCATTTTGGAGTATTTAGGGGGGATAGATTTTTTTTACCATTTTTTTTACGTTAAATTTATAATAATTAATGTAATTTCCAAAATTCATGACTATCATAATCATAGGGTAAAAGACGTTAATTTTAAACAGTTCTTCGGGATCTGTTGGTGTTTCATCTGCAGCTTCAAACTCAAATAATCGCTTCTTTCTCCGGGATCTGACTGGCTTAAACGTCGGATCTATGCCTGCCTCAGAAGCTTTTTCCTTAGCTGTTATTTGAGCAGACGAATGAGTCCGGTATTGCTTCACAAATTCCGAGTAGTTTTTCAGCAATTGCGATGCGTTTGATAAATCCATAGTTTCAGACTGCATTTTTACTTTACTTACAATGTTTACTTGAAACAGTATATCATACCAAGCCACCAATGTAACTAAGAATTCAAATTGCTCCATATTCTGAATCAGTGACAAAGCCTCTGATGCAGCAACTGAATCATTCAATTCTTCGTGAAGATTCAAAAGAGCATCACGAACTGAACAGTAATTGTAGCGAACAGAAGCAAGGCTAGAAACTCTACTCTCCCAACGAGTTTCGCAAACTTTTTTCTGTGATAGTCCTTCTATGTGTTGGGATATGACTTCCCACCTCTTTGTTGATCCAGAAAATAATATAAATGGTCTTTGGAGAAATCCAAATAAAGAGACCGATTTACCGGGTGGTTTAGCTGCATCTGCTACCACCAAATTCAAGCTGTGACAACCACATGGGTTAAAAAATGCTCGAGGATATTGGTTCAAAATTCTGGTTTGGACACCTTTGTTTATTCCTACCATGTTGGCGCCATTATCGTACCCTTGACCTCGACAATCGTTCATATCCAAGTCAACTTCATGCACAATTCATCAAGAAAAAGGCCAGTGTGCCCTTCTGAAGAATCACTTACCGGCTTGTAAGTAACGAAACACTTTCGAACTTTCACTTCTTCTTCATTAGTGTCAACAAAACGGAAAGTTATTGATTGATAATTGTTCATCAGGAGTGCAGACCAGTATGATAGAGAAGTATTTGGATGACTTGATCATAGTGAAAATTGTATTTCTAACTTTACTTCCAAATAAGTC